CTGGGCTGCTCTAGGTACCCAAGTACTGTTGTTAAACTGCTGCTGCTTACAGGACATTGGCAGACTAAAGACTGGAGCAAATTTCTCCAGCACTGCCCATGAGGGAACATATGCATCTGTCGTTCGGGAATAGTTACACAGGCATTCTTTTTATATGTCAACAAATGTTAGCGTTTCCTGCTTGACCGTGCCTTGCCTTCTTCCTCCTCCCAGCAGGAAGTAGGAACCAATCAGCAGGGTGCACATCTCGCACAATGTGCAATTGGGATTCAGGAGGTGTTTGCATTTGCCCGTCTGCAGCCCTTTGCAACCTGCACTTACCCATCAATCCCTTTGCAGTGGAGGCATGCAGTGATGGCTGTTGGTAGTTACGGGCAATGCTAAATCAGTCTTAAATGGCTTTTGGCCCTCTCTCTCACGGAGCCTTCAGGAGCCTGGCCTTTTTTTTTTAGTACCGGCCTTGTGCTTGTAAATCCCTTCCCCTCTGTAAATATTCTTTCTGCAGAATAAGCGTTGGGCCAAATGGTCTATGCCCTTAAGGCATCATCATTCCTTCTTTGAAAATTAAATGTAATGTCTTTTTAAAAAGGATCGGCATCACTCGGACTTCATACATCTTGCTCGAATATGCCCGGTTGGTTGGTTTACATTCACTACAGATTTGCATCAATGTATCAACGTGATAAATGTCCTATAAAAATCATGGGCAGTGCTGATGCTGTTGTAGTTTGCTTAATTACCAGGATAAAAACAGATCATAATCAGGTGCAGCAAATTACATTCTATCTTTGAAAATTAATATTAAAAATTGAGATATTATAATGATCATTTAAAAAGCTACCATGGTACAAGTATTTTTAATTTAAAAGATAATTACAAACACATTATAACTTGTTCTAGAAGTGATGCTAATACTAAACAAATCAAATCTGAACATGATGGAAGAGCTATGTGTTTTGTTTTTGATTGTGGAAGGAAGTTCCTATTGCAAAATAATGATATGTAGATATTTTCCTAATTATTTCATGAATATATAGCTATGAGTTGATATATAAGCTATTTGTAGATTTATTTAGCCTATTAGGAATTTATATATTTGTTTACC